CCCCTGCAACAGCCCCCGAAACTGCCCGCTCATGCCACTCCTTGCACAGCTTCCGGATCAAACACACCGTGGACTGAGGCGTAGGCACCTACCTCTCCCAAACCGCCTTATTGCGTGCTTTCCAGATCGCCCAAACCCCCATGATGACTGGACGAAGTTCAAGCAATGAAAACCTGTCAAACATATGCATCATCCATGCATTGAAATACAGCCCTAAAGGATTGCTATAAGAAAATCCAAGCTGATTCCAAACCATTTTCGAGAACGGGCAAACAACAAAAATATGATCAATATTTTCACCCGGAGTCCCACACAAGGGGCAAAGGTTGTCCAGGGCCATACCTTTAGAATTAAGAGAAGAGATGGTCGGAAGAATGTCCCGAAGAGCTCGCCACACACAGACCTTGAGCTTCGGAGCCACTGAAACCCGCCAAAGTTGACGCCACTTTGAAAAACCCGGACAGACTGTTAACTCCCCGACCGAACGCCGATAACCTTCTTTCACCGAATAAGCTCCCCAGGACGGCCCTTCCCAGTACCAGTTATCATCACTGATGGTGCCCAAAGGTAGTGCAAGAATGCGTTGCACATCAACAGGCAAGAACCATTCCCGCACCACTTCCTCCTTCCAATGACCCGAACCAGACTCAATCAAAAATTCTACTGGGAGATTGGGCATAAACGGTGGTCTCTCCGTAAGGATACAAGGTTGTTGAGAATCATTAAGCCAAGGACTACCCCATATCAGAGTGTCCCGACCATTACCCACCCTACGACGGATACCCTCCAAAAGCAGTGATTGTGACTCCAAAATACTTCGCCAACAAGAACTAGGATTAGCCCCCAAATGAGCCTCCAAAAATGAAGACGTAGGAAAGTACCTTGCTTTAAAAACCCGAGAGACAAGTGCCTCAGGTCGGGTGAGAAACCTCCACCCCTGTTTTCCCAGCATCGCTACATTAAAAGCTCTCACCTGTTTAAAGCCCAAACCACCAAAATTCTTTGGCACTGCCATCCTTGTCCAAGACATCCAATGGATCCCTTTAGAATTCTGCCCTTTCCCACCCCACCAAAAGGAGTTCATAAGCTTTTCAATACTTTGACAAAGTTGAGATGGTAACAAAAAAACACTCATAGCAAACTGAGGCATAGCTTGCGCAACTGTCTTCAGCAGAATTTCCTCTCCGGCCTTCGAGAGAAGTTTCTTTGACCACCCACTCATCCGCACATGAATCTTATCATGGATATATGAGAACACATTAGCTTTATTTCTTCCCAGGAAAGGGGGGAGACCAAGATATTTACCAAAATCGGAAGCTTGCTCTACATCAAAAAATTGAGATAAAAAGTCTCTTGTCGGACTGGGGGTGTTGCAACTGAAACAAATGCTGGATTTTCTATAGTTAACAACCTGCCCGGACAACCTCTCATACTCCGATAAGCATCTCTTGACCACCACAGCCTCCTCTAGTGTTGCCTTAAAAAACAAAAGACTATCATCTGCAAAAAGAAGGTGCGAGACAGAGGGAGCTCCTCTAGCAACCCGAATCCCGTGGAGCACACCTTCACTGACCTTGTTCTGCAGCATTAAGGATAAGCCCTCCGCACAAAGAATAAACAGATAAGGGCTCAATGGGTCGCCCTGTCGCAGTCCCCTCGTAGGAAGGATCGGTTCTGAAAGATCACCATTAATAAGCACCTGATATCGAACGGTGGAGACGCATAACATAACTAGGTTGATCCATTCCTCATCAAAGCCAAGTTTTCCCATCATAGTTCGCAGAAATGGCCACTCCATACAATCATAAGCTTTAGCCATATCCAACTTCAAGCCCACCCAACCCGTCAAGCCTGTCCTCTTCCTACGCAGAAAATGCCCCATCTCGGCCGCCAACAAAATATTATTTGAGATGAGACGGCCCGGAAGGAAAGCGGATTGACTTTCAAAAATGATTTGCTGGAGTATAGGTTTCAACCGGTTTGCCAACATTTTTGCCATAACCTTATACGTGATATTGCATAACGCAATGGGACGGAGATCGCCCACAACCTGTGGCGCCTGTTTCTTTGGAATAAGGACCAGCGTGGCATCATTCATTCCCGGAGGGAACGAAACTTGACGAATACACTCCAGAACAGCCCTTGTCAAGTCCTGGCCCACCACTCCCCAATTTTTCTGAAAAAAAGCAGGATTCATCCCATCAGGCCCAGGCGCTTTGTCCGGGTGCATAGAAAAAATAGCCTGCTTAACTTCCTCCTCACCAAACTGAGCCAGCAACCCTTCATTTTGTTCTCTCGAAACCCGCGGGACAATGGAGTCAAAAAACGAGGAGTCAGCAACCCCCTTAGACGAAAAGATGTCCTTAAAATACTTTGTAATCAAAGCTTTTAAGGAATTCCCAGCATGCCAGACTACATCCGAACCCTTAAGCCCATGAATAAAGTTCTTTCGCTTTCGGTGAGACGCATATTGGTGAAAAAACCGGGTATTAGCATCACCAGAATTAAGCCAGTGTTGCTTCGCCCTTTGTCGCCAATATAGATCCTCTTGGTCCCTTAAACAGGCAAGCTCCTTTTCATAATTGTTATCGTGGTTGATCTGTGTGATTTATCTATATAATTGTTGATTGTGGTTTTGGAAATTGTTATCGTTAAATCAAAAAGGGTAGTACGCATGATTTAGGCGTTGATTGATGAATTCATGTGCTTGATAATGTTTAGAATGTTAATATGAACCTATTCATTTTTGTGTTATGAGATTGTTGTCGATCTAAGGCTGAAAAAACAAAACAGGTAAGAAGTTAGAAATTATTGGGTTAGACGGTAGGTGGTACCGCCGGGACGGTACCGTGCTACCGTCACACTCTGTTTATTTCATTCCCCTGTGATGGTAGCTGTGACTATTCGATACCTAGGTATCGGACGGATGGTAGTCCCTACCACCCATTTGGTAGTCGGCTACCGTGACAGCCCCACCGGAAGAGCCTAGATGGTTCGGTCGGTACCCCCGGTACCGTAGGATCAGTACCCAGGTACCGTGAGGAGGGTATCCCGTACCGAGACAGGTATCGTTTAGTACCTGATGCCGGGTTTGTCAATCTCTGTTTTCGTCAAGGATTGATTCCGAGACTCCGTGTGTTGCATGACGGTAAGCATGGGTGTTTACACCCAGTGTTAGGCCGTTATTTGATTATGTTGGATATCTTGTTAAATGCATTATGGATTTATGGATGTTATATCATGTATTGATTAATGAATGTTGAATATATCACCTAGAAGAACTCTAGGAAATGACCTGAATGGATTAGTGGCAAGGTATGCCATAAGTATAGTAAGTTAGAGCCATGTGGTACCTGCTGGGTCCAATGGCTGATCGGGTAAAAACGTGTACACGGAGATCTAACAACTATAGTTCCGAAGGGGACAGGGATCGCACCCACCCAACGAGGAACTCTCGAGTTGGTTTGAGTTTGACCTTCGTTCCGAAGGGGAAGGTCATGACTCCATATACAATCAGTTAAGCATTAACCTAGTATAGGTTAAGAGCCAAGTATGATAAGAAAAGTTAAGTAAACTAAAAAGGAAAGTACCTAATACTTACATCATTGTTGTTTGTATCTTATGAACTGTCATGTCATTGATTATGCATGTTATACCTCGTATGTCGTGTGGTTGTTGCTAAGCATGTTTTGTGCATGATATCATGTGATGATTATGAATTAGTGGATTCGCCTATGTGTATGTTCGAACTGTTAGATATTTCTCACTCAGCTTCATTGCTAAGCGTGTAGCCTCTTTTGCCCCTTTGTTGCACGTAGGTGGTGGTGGAAGATTGATTATGTAATCCATCCCGGAGAGCAGCATGACGGAGAAGATGTACAGATACGGGAATTTAATAAAGTTGATGTTTGTTTAAATTATAAGGCTCCCGCACTATTTGTATAAACTCCGATATGTATTTAAATGATTAAAATTGTTTGAGTTTTAAATTAAATGCTTTTAGTTTATTGGAAAATATTGTATGTGGACACCAATTTAGTAGCAATCCGGTTCGCTAACCTATATATTTTGGTGACGCGGGTTGGGGTGTTACAACAACCTATTACTATTCCTGGATGGAAATGAGACCGTTTAACAATAAACTTTGTCATTGGTCTACCTCAAACTCTAAAGAAGAATGATTCAGTTTGGGTAATCGTGGATCGACTCACAAAATCGGCTCACTTTTTACCTTTTCGAAGAGATTTTTTCATTACAAAGACTGGCTGAACTTTACATTCAGGAAGTTGTATGACTTCATGGAATACCCCCTCTCTATCATTTCTGACAGAGACCCAAGGTTCACATCCCAATTTTGGCAAGTATTTCAAAAGGCTTTGGGAGCTAAGCTACACCTCACTACGACTTTCCATCCTCAAACAGATGGACAATCAGAGCGAGTTGTAACAGCCCGAACCGCGTGACCCGAATACAAGGACCAGCGGATCGGGTTGTCACTAAATTGGTATTCAGACACAATAATTTTCAAAACAATTTAAAAACATTTAATTCAAAACAATATATAAATATCCATCGGAGTTAACAAAACACTGCGGAAGCCTTTAAGTACTTAATCAAAATACAACTTTGGGTTCTTGCCCTTAAAAAAACATATTTAATCCAACTTAAATATTAAACCAGACAACTCCTTCAGCCAGCATCCATCCACCTCCCTGCCCTTGCTGCCCTCCAGGATATTTCCTTATTCGTCATTCATATTACCTACGTGTAGCAAATAGGAAAAAGGGCTACACGCTCAGCATTGAAGCTAAGTGAGAAATATCTAACGTTTCGACTACGCACATAGACGAAGCCACTAGCTCATAATTCCATACATTATCATGCACATAAGTACAACAGTTATTACATCAACAATATCAATAATTCACGCAACATGTTACTTACCTCAATTATTTAGCTGCATAAGTTATCAATTCAACATTCAGGCTCCTACATCAACTCATAGCAAATACTAGCTCATAACCTATACTAGGCTAAGGCCAATTTCCTCATTATCCACATTCTTATCTTAGGACTTAGAGCCACTACCTACGACCATGACTCAAAGTCTATTCTATGACATCAGAACCACTACCTACGGCCATGATTCTGGTCAAACCTAGTACCTACGGCGCCGGTTGGGTGGAACCTCCAATCCTTCAGATCAGATCTCAGATTCCATGTATGTACATCTTTACCCGAATGCCACTGGACTAAGTCCATAGGGCTCTACACCTATTGTCATCTTACAAATCTCAATTCTCACAAGTAGTTCTAGAGTTCTTCTAGGTAACCTATGTCATTAAGTTTAGTTATCTAGATCCAAGCTATCAATAAACACAGTATATTTTATTCGTACAAGACATATCACATTACCTTTATTATAAATCAAGAGAACAGAATTAGCTAAATATATCATCATGCAATCCACACAATTTCAAATAAGGAACGTACCTGGTCATCCTTGTTCCACCAATTCAAACAATAACATATAATATAATTAAATCATAATTTAATTATAAGCAAATAAACCACGTAATCAATCATGCGAAACTACGAACGTGAATTTCAAATCTATATACATAATCTAGCGTTAGATGTGCAAGTTCTGACCTCGATTAATTGGCGAATTAAACAAAACAAATAGTCGAAGATTTTCCGGCGAGCAGACGGCGGAGGCACTGGGGTCAGCGGCGGTTGAGGAAGCAGCAGTGACGGCAGATCGATTTCCTGGTTGTCTGTTCTTGTCGCACGTCCTGGCTTCGTCTCTCTCGCGGCAGCAAACAATAACTCCGTATAGACGTAATTTGCCGTAGAACCAATGACTCCGTATATGAATTTATATAGAGAGGCAATTGCGCTTTACAATTATAACTAGGAGTATATTACGTGCATACTCCATTTTTAATATTGCTATTATATTATTTTAACTCTTTACATTTATGATACGGGTCGTGTAGAGGAAGAACACGAGAGCCCAACGGATCATGAGCAAGGAAGTCCAACAGAAGACCCACCGGACTCATTGACGCCCAGTCGGCCTCGTAGGAACGCGGGGCGACCCCGACGCTATGATGATTATGTTTGATTTTACTTTATGCTCGGAGTAATTTTTCTTTTCCTTATTTTAATTATTGTACTTTAGATTTTCTTAGGTGAGCAAATTATAAGCTCCTTCGAGGGTTTCTTTTCGGTTCTTTACCTCGATGCTTTTCTTGAACTGACAGGATTAGGGTTAGGGTTTTCTCTTTTCTTTATATATTGATGTACGCCACTTATAACAATATCAATACATCAATAATAGAGTATTTTAGTAGTTTGTTTACCTCTTCGGTGAACGCCGCCCAGCCTCAAACCTACGTTAACCACGTAGGGTTTTTGTCTTTCCCCCTTAACCCTTATCATCTGGTGCTCTCGTTGCCGTCCTCATGACGACGCCCCAGCCTAAGTCTCAGATGATAAGGGTTAAGGGGGAAAGACAGAAACCCTACGTAGTTAACGTAGGTTTGAGGCTGGGCGGCATTCACCGAAGAGGGAAACAAACTACTAAACTACTCTATTATTGATGTATTGATATTGTTATAAGTGGCGTACATCAATATATAAAGAAAAGAGAAAACCCTAACCCTAATCCTGTCGGTTCAAGAAAAGCATCGAGGTAAAGAACCGAAAAGAAACCCTCAAAGGAGCTTATAATTTGCTCACCTAAGAAAATCTAAATTACAATAATTAAAATAAGGAAAAGAAAAATTACTCCGAGCAGAGAGTAAAATCAAACGTAAACATCATAGCGTCGGGGTCGCCCCGCGTTCCTACGAGGCCGACTGGGCGACAATGAGTCCGGTGGGTCTTCTGTTGGACTTCCTTGCTCATGATCCGTTGGGCTCTCGTGTTCTTCCTCCACACGACCCGTATCAATTTATTTATTGAACTGTAATGTCTATTTTACTCACCACGCTTTATACGCATATCCAAATTTAACGAACCATATACCATTGGTCACTGTTTTACGAGACCTACCCAAAAACCCAATTTTTATTTAAAACAGACAACTTTACAAATAATTCATATTTTTGAGTAAATAAATTTTAATATTTATTTTATTAAAATAACGACTAGCTACAAAGCCGGTTTTCGGGTCGTTACACGAGTAATACAGATTCTTAAAGACATGATGAGGTCTTGTGTCATCGACTTTGGAGGAAACTGGGAAAAGTATTTACCTCTAATGGATTTTGCATACAATAACAGTTATCAATCGAGCATTCAAATGGAACCATACGAAGCACTATATGGAAAGAGGTGCAGAACTCCTGTATGATGGACAGAATTAAATGAGCGTAAGTTGATTGGACCTGAAATAGTTCGAGACACTGAACACAAGGTAAAGACCATTCAAGACAAACTCAAAGCCCCATCTGATCGTCAAAAGTCCTATGCTTATCTCAAACGCAAAGACATGGAGTACAAAGTCAAAGAAAAAGTATTTCTAAAAGTATCACCGTGGAAACATGTCTTATGATTTGGGAAGAAAGGAAAATTAAGTCC